CGGTTCAAATCTCCTTTTTGCGGACTACTTGCATATGGAATATGCGTAGAGAACGTAATTCTATTTTGCAGCGGGGTTCGCGAATAATTGTCCATTCGGTTCACGTGACTCAACTTCATCGCGTTTTTTTTTTCACAACCGCATTTTCCCAATCAAAATTACATTTTGACGGTCTATTGTGGCGCGAAGAAGAGAGTTATTTCTCGCAATCTTAATTCAAATCGCTCCGATTAGTCGGAATTCGACAACGAGCAAATTGACGTCGTTTAACACGATCAACAATGAATTTATCAGACCGACTTCGTATCCATTCGTCTTTCTGAAAAACCAATGGGTCGCGATAATTGCTAATTACTTTTTCACCTAACTTCCACTTTGCCCAGAAGTCAAATTAAACGAGATTATCTATCTAATCTTTCAGAAGCGCTATTAAATAATGAAATCCGATTTAAAATATTAATAAACATTCTTCTCTTTCTCTTCTCTGCGACGATCATGACTACGGATTTATTTTTGCCCAGACTCCATCGATTTCAGAAATTTTGCGCATTTTTCTAGACCTTTTCTGTATAAACTTTGAACATGATGGTTTTTCTTTATTTCCTATCATCGGTCACTCCGAACGTCACGCGAAAGATAGGAAAGTTCATATGCGTGACGTCAACAACATTCATCAATCGCTTTTGAGAGACATTTCGTGTTCCGTGAAATCGTTTGAGCGAAACGGATAGTCTTTATCATTTTTGCGTTTCCGTTTCAGAAACGCGTATAGGTAGAATGTAATGTGGTTTGAAGAGTCTTTCATTATTGTACACTCAGTATGAAAATCCAAGGAACGATTGAACGCGCGGGAAGATTTTTGCTGACAATGACAAGTGCGCTTTCTGCTGACGTCGCGATAATTAACGACGAATTAAATTACTCCGTACTTTTCCGAGATTTGTGAAACATTTCGTGATAGAATCGTATCTTTTTTTTTTTAAATCATAGTAATTAAAATCTCCAATTAACAGAATGTGATCTAATTAACCTAAATTAATCTCTAATTAACAATAATACAAACGTTTTTCTGCATCCAATTCTTCATGAAAATCAGTAAAATCAAGAGACGCAATGATTTTTTGACGTTGAAGATGTAGCGATTATTGTCTGTTTTTTCTGGATTGAAAATTTGATATAAATATATCGACTTCTGGCCGAAGTGTTTTTTTTCGCAATATTTTAAAATTACATAGAAAGATAACGGGTGTTTCTTATATATGTGATGCACACACACACATTCAGCATCTTATATGAATTAAACAATTGAATTTTCAATTCAAAAATTCAGTATTGTTAAAAATTTACACTGAAATAATATAAATAAATATATATATATATATTCATATATACAGAGAGAGAGAGTGTCCCACCTAACTTGAGCAAATATCTCTAATTCTTGTTTATTACAGTATTTGTTTCCTCGAACTGAATAATGACCCTTTTCAGCATCCTTCTATCATAAAAAATAAGCGAGATATTTAGGATGCTCAAGTTAGGTGGGACACTGTATATATATATATATATATATATATTTATATTATTCAGTGTAAATTTTTACAACTGAAATTTTGAATAGAAAATTCAATTCTTTAATTCATATAAGATGCCATATATATATATGTATATATATTTATATATCCGTTTCGCACATTTAGCGTTTGGCTCTTAATGACCAATTTTAATGTTAGTTTAATATAAATATCTTCTGTAGATATACATATAAATATATACATATATATATGTATATATCCATATCCTCTTTCTATTTCATCTCTTTCAGTAGTTTTCGCCCAAATTACAGCGAAGTCAAGAATCTACACTGATCTCTTGTTCAATATCGATTAAAATCTATAATTGAGTTGCCGGGCGGAACGGCGATAAAGATTTCAGATTAATGCGATGTAATCGTATCTGCGCTCCGTCTATTCGCTTCACGGTAATATCCCCGCGCTATCCCGGCGACTCCATCTTTCTCCGCTTTCGCAAGTTCTACCAAGCGCTCGGTGAGACCGGCGCATCTTCAAAAATCGATTTAGCTGCCGCGAAGTCTTCTATCTTCGGCGTGGCAGTCTCAGATAAGAGGCAAAAAGCAGTGTTTCAGGAAAGAGAGTGCAAAAGACGCGTAATAAATTATTATTCGAATGCCAAATTCGAGCGGAACATTTCGTTATGTTCGTTTTTCACATTCAATTAATCCGCATTTGGTTCAACCTAGATAACGATTGTAAATAATCAGAGAGAAAAGTTTTAATCCGCGCTTCGGGATATACAGTAAATGTAAAAAATTTACCCACTGGAATTATTAATATTGATCATAATATTGTTACGCTCGCTGCGATGTTTTCTTTTTTTTTTTTTGTTTTTTTTTTTTTTTTTTTATTATTGCTTTATCATCCCCGTGTAATATTCGAATTGGTGTTAGCCATAAATCACGCGATGGTATAATTGGCAAACATGGTTCTCACTGCACTGCGATATCTTGACAATGAAATACGATAGCGCGACGGTATCACGGAAAATAAAAATGTAAGCAACGATAAATTTCAGTATGAAATTTCTCACATATAATTTCCGGATTTGAGTTTCACTGTGAGACGTAACATCTCGCACATTGATCTGGCCGTAAAAAGAACGGAAAATGTACTTGATAAAATACACTCATCTTATATGAGTTTGAAACGACGAGTTTTGCAAAGCTCGCGCAAATAGAACTATAAATGTTTTTTTTTTTTTTTTGTTGTACAAGGAGCGTCTGAGACGCGATATAACACCTATTGTTTCTTACGAATGCGATTAAAGTTCGCGTCCAAACGAGTCAACAAAGAAACTCGAAACTTCCGCTTTAGATACGTCCTTCCTGCGGAAGAAGGCGCGAGTTGAAGTTGGAGAGACGGTCTTAACCGCATTCGCGAAATGAAGCCGAGAAGTCTTTTCTTCTCGCGAAACAACCCCTTGTTGTGATAAAGTGAAAAGAAAAATCAGTTGATTAAACTCGACGCAGTCGAGAGAGAGAGAAACATCGGTCAGTTTAGACCACACTCGGACTGTTCGGACTCAAAATAAAACATGGTAAAGGTTAATAAGGCTTTTTGCACATCCTGGATTAGCGCGCGAGGTAAATGGAAAGTATAGAAACCCTTTTGGGGAAAGTTGTTGGCTAATTCGCTGACATCCCCGAATGAGGTTGCTTTAAGCGAAACTTGACGGTTTTCGGTCGATACGTTCTCGTTACATGTGCGCGCGTTTGCAAGGAAACTTTGATGACCGTTCATTTGATTTTATGCCGCAGGTCTGTGAACAAGAGAGAGAAACGCGTCGTGAGAGAAAGCCACAAGTAAAAAAGCATTTATTGCGAAGTAGTAAAAATACATGGGATCGTGCTTCCACCTTTCGTATGAATAATTTTTTTTTGTTTTTATTACCGCGAAACGTTCGCTTCGTGCTTCTCTCGCGAAGCGCGCTCGACAGGTAAACATCTTCCGTCATCGTCGTTCTGACACGTAACCGCCAAGTTTACTCTCGCCGATATTAAAACGTTTCTTTTTGCTCGCGCAACGGTGCCACAGTATTTGCTGGAACTTGTTACTTGCAGATGAAGCGTGCACAGTGCTTCAACTTCGAATATATATACGTATATACATATATATAATTGTAAGAAAAAAGTGAAGCACAAGCGCGTTTTTCCTTTTTGCAGAAATCTACTCAAAAAATATAAATAAATAAATGTGGAAACCGAGACGTTGTTATAATATTTTCACTGCGCGCATACAAGGTGAACAACAACGATCGGATTTTTTGTCCGCAGATGACCAGATAGAGACTATTGTCCTCGCTTTTTTTTTCCACGTTTTTCGAGCAACTCAGAAACATAGCTTTTCGCATCAGCGAGAAACACACAAAGTGTTCTAAAATCCTCGTTTTTACGACGACATTTTCTGAGGCAGATTTTTCTTTTTTTTCTCTTGTAGATATAATTAACGTGTCTTTTGCAATGTACAATTTAATGTGTTTTGGTTTTTTTCCAAGATTTCCTAGAATTTTTCTCGATTCTGTGAATTATTTAATATACTTTAAATATATATTTTATTATATTTATTTTTATTATATTATTTTTAAATATATTTTAAATATATTTTACTTAATTTTTTAATATATGTTTTCTCATTTTTTTTAAGCTGTTAGCTTAATAATATTTTTGTCGCCAATGGAATATTTTTTCATGAAAATTACATATAAAATATCATACACGTGTAACAAAGTTTCAAACTGATCATCTTGAAAATAATTCGCTCGGCGTTTTAAAAATTTGCATTTTCTCCTGCAATTTCGAAGCCGCATGATCGAGGCCGCGATCGTGATTTTGTACGTAGTAAATTCTCGCGTGTCGCGACTTATTTTTGTCGCCATCTTGGCAGCTCGACAAAGAGAACTGCCGAGAACCACGTAGGTAGCTCAACAGGTAGCTTTGTGAACCCTCGCGTTTACCCCTTTTGCCTTTCTCTCCTCTCCCTTCTCTCCCGCGCTCTTCATCTCTGCTGTATTTTTCTGCCGTTCTTTCATATTTTACATGTGCCGCATCAAGCAAGCTGTCACGCCCACACGCGTGGATTACCCTTCGAGGCTGATACTTTCCGTGCCGCTTCACTCTTTGAATCATCAAATTCGATTGAATTTTGGCGAGGTATACATTCGGTAAAACAGCGATAAAACGTTTTTAAATAAAACTCATTCGGTTATTTACGTGACACGTGTTGGTTTGTTTGTTTGGATGTGCGCGTCGATTTTTATGCAAAACGAGTTCCTATCAAATGTCAGCATCGTACGACGTAATTCAAAACTGTGTCGCGTATCTCAAAATATAATTTTTATAAAATATAATTTTAATAAAATCTACAACAAAACTTTATATTAAAAAATATCTTTTTTAATTAAAAAAAAAAGAAATTATCCTTTTTAAATGTTACAACACCGTGAATAATGTCATGACATTTGTAATATATCATCAAGTAAATAGATTTGCGATGTTATATATATCAAATTCGCTCGCGCTGCACGAGCAAATCAAACGTTATTTGATGTACCGACAATTTCTAAATGTCAACTTGCCGCAAGCGTTTTCGAGAACGCGCGCGGAATCAGAAAAAAAAAAAAAGTGCTAATTACGATCGCAAGTGTTCATTAACGACAACGCTCATCCGGCGGCTTTTATTCCACGCACTCGCCGATGCGCAATTACGCACGCGCGATACGCCGCGAACGAGCAAATAAAAGCGTTGATCTGATGCGCGCGCCAGGATGCGAACGCCGTGCAATCAGACACGGTCCGTGAAAATGAGACAAAAAAAAAAAAAGTGGATTCAGCGTCGTCGTGATTTACCGACGCGCGAATCGCAAATTGTGTTTTTGCTCTGCTCTTCGCTTTATATTATCGCAATTATTTTTCGTTTCATAATCTTCGCGCATAATCTCGTGCGCGTTTACATTGAGCGAAAGAAAACATTGTTGTGTGTGTTCGCACACGCGATAAAGTTTTTGTTACACGTACGATTTTTATTCTTCGCATCTTTCTATTTTTCCTCAGCTGAACATAAAATTCTGATGCCCTTGGTTTTGAGCGAGAGTTTCTCTCGCGTTTTACGGCACGTACGTGTACTTCGAGCACGTACTTTCGAATCTCGAAAAAGCGCTTCGCTTATACGAAGAAGAACTACTCTTCGTCGCCCTGTTTGCGCGTTTCAGGATATAACGATCGTTTATGTCGGTCCCGAGCAACGACGTCGTATCGCGTTTTGTCAATAGCGGTGTCAAAGTCATCGCGGTGCCATCCATCCTCGCAGGACTTGGAGATCCTGAATGTCTCGCGCTCAGCTCGTCCTCCGCTCATCTCGATGTTACTCGAGCACACTTCGATTGGTTGTTTTAGAAAGGACGATGTTCTCTCTTCGTCAATGATGACGTGTCTCGAGTCTTTGTAACACGTTTTGAACGTCATATGCGACTCGCGCGGCAAAACTTCCGCCTCCTCGTCGTTTCTCGTTTCAGCAGGTTTGCCTTTGTCAGGAGAAACATCCGTGTGAGATTCGATCACGTACGTCAGATTTGTCATCTTGCTTCTGAAGGACCTCGCGCTTTCCAACGAACTTGATTCTTCATCTAGGTCAATATTAGTGACTGAAGCTTCGCGTTTCTTTTTAATTTGAATTCGAAACAAAAATCATGCAAAAACAAAATGTTGAAATATCAATTTACTAATATCGTGTTTAACGAAAAGGAACAAGAGAATATTTATAAATCTTGTAAAAAACAACGGAGAATTTTTTTAAGTACAATTTGTTCACGTTCGAATGTTTTTACGTTTTGATCAATTAAACATATTTTTCTCGAAAAATTCATTTCAAGAAAAATATGTGGGTAATATAAATGGACGTTCGCGGATCCATTCGCAGATTGCTTTTACGGCGCGCGCTTTTTCCACACGGGGTTTCGGGGAAAAGGGCAAATATGAAACCCTTATAAATCAAAAGCTCCGGCGAGATAAATCTGCGAATGTAATACCTATTTCGCGTTGATCGGGGATGACATCCTGCGTATAGTCGTCGCCCTTGCCGCGCGTCGTTTTCCTAATTCCCAAAGTTGTTATCGCTTCGTTTCCCTCAAACAGCTCCTCGTTTCGCGGCGATAACCTTTGTGGAACACCCTTCAAACATCGATCCTCGACGAACGTGACTTCGCGCAGAGCACGATTCAGTTGCTCGATTAGATCTCGGATGTAAGACAGCATCGGGGTGTCGCCCTCCTCCTCGCTGATCTTCGCGGCGACTCGCAGCTCTTCGCGCGCCTCTGCGTTGAAGCGAAACTCATTTTAGGCACGGTCATGCACCGAAGCTCTCTCTTTTCTCATATAATTTTACCCCGAAGGGTCCCCCCGCGCAAGGTTTGCACGAACGCGCGACTGTCGCTTATCGAATTACCAAGCGATCTTTAGAAAAGTGCGATATCGAATTGTGTACACACACTTTCGGAATATATCCGCTACAACTTCTCGGAGATTCCAGAATTTAACATCGAAATGTCAATTTTTAAGAAAAAGTCACACATCGCGTTTTTTTCCATTTCATTTTGTCGAAAAATAAAAACTAAATTTCGTTATCCATAAAATTCGATATTTCGTTTACGAATTTCTCTTCAAGTCTATTTCTCAAGTCCATTTCCAAGTTCTTTATTCCCTGAGACTATAAAAAAAAAAAAAGATCACAGCTACTCTATATATCCTCACCTCCTATGAAAGTCGTATTTCAGATATCTACAAATATATTCCACGGTGCTCTACATTTTCACCTTTTTTCCGCAAACACAAAGAAACAAAAATCACTGGTGATAAAACCGTCAGCGCATACATTAGAGAAAAGTGTTATATTTTTCGCTACGCTGCACACTCTTCTCTGCTTCTTCTTTTTCTTTCTACCAGTCCAACCGCGCAACACATTTCTGTTGCAACTAGACATTCTCGCTCTTATCCTCTTTAGTTGCGATTTAGATAAAAAGCGTAGGCAAACTCGCCAAAACAAAAAAAAGTATGAGAAATAATATTTTGCAAGCTGTTCGAAAAGTTTCGAGTCTCAGAATAGAAATAGCGCAAAAAAAGTTCAATATTTTAGTAATGTTTGACGTTCTTATTTTTTATTGATTTAAGTTTAAAGTCGACATGTTATTTGGTACTTGTCTAAAAAAAAAAAAACAATGGAAAAAATTAAAAATTCGTGCAGTGATAAAATATTTTTGTTAAAAGGTTTAATTTTTACCGAAATAAAAAAATAATTTAGCCTTGTGCGATTTTTTTTCTGTTCAAAAAGAGATTTTTGACTGAGGTAATTAATGTTGTAAATGTTAATTTTGAGAATTTCGACGATTGTTCTACCAAACTGAAATAATGGTCTTAGAACATTGTTAGATACACAAAGTGTATGGAAATTAACGTTGAGAAATAAATCAAAATTAGTGCAGGAAATGTTTTCTTATTTACGTCCGAAACTTATCAAACAATCCTCGTTAAATAATTAAATCTCTGTGGCGCGCGAACTACGAGACTACGATGTTTCTTAAAAAAATTCCGACAACCCCGAAATCCGAAGTTTTGTCGGAAAATTCGCGTTTGTCCAGGAAAAACGTGATATGTGACACAGTCGTGAGTCTACGAGGTTTGTCTGTGCGAAAAAGTCGTCTCGATCAACAAATTCGGTCACGAAGATGAATAGAACGCTTTTTAGGGAATGAGCTCAGAGCGACGGGTTTTGAGAAATAGAGTCATCACCGGCGAAACGACCCAGCATTGCCAGGCATTGCGCTCGCAGCAGATCGGCGTGGAAGATCCACTTCTTCGAGTTCGCCTCTTCCGCGCATTCCCGGCACTGTGTCGTCTTGCGCAGTGCCTTCGCGTGCTTCCCCATTTCCAAATAGCAGCGTCCAATCTCATGGTGCAGCCAGGCTCGCGGCAACGGATGGTCGACGTAAACCGACATGTTCTCCCAAGCGCGCGCGGCCGCTTCCAGGTGATCAAAGCTCAGGTGCACCTTTCCCATGATCATGAGTGCCTGTGTCAGAAGAACGGGATTGTTACTGCTGCACGACAGGCGCATTAACCCGGCGAGATCGCTGCACGCTCGATCGTGTCGCCCTAAGGCCGTGTGGATCAAACACAGATATTGATACGCCAGTATTCTGTGCCGATGTGGATCTTCCAATGCGGACGATAATGTCAGCAGATCCTCGACAAGTTTAAGCGAAGTTCTCATCTTGCCGGCGTTGAAATTCGTTCTCAAATTCTTCAGCATCTCGTCGGCGCGATTATTGACGTACTTCAATAACGTTCTGGATCGAGTCAGTTGAGCGGACAGAGATCCAAACGGCGCGGAAGACGTATGTGAAGTCCTTTTGCGTATATCGATATATCTAAAGTGAAAGAAAAACATCCTTTGACCACAAAATGTCGGAACGCCTCATAAATCCCGAGATTCAAATCGTTGAAGATAAGAGGCTTCTTGATATGAACTACTTTATATAATACGTAACCTCATCGTTCACTTAAATTGGGAAAAGCTGATTTCTTTTTTCCCAATTTCGCAAACTTCAATCTTAATCTTAATGTTTTTATAGTGTTATATATCTTAATGTAATCTCTTCAAGAGAGAAATATTAAGAAAAAGAACATGAAAAATAACTATGGGTTTTTTTTTTTTTAAATTGGTGATGAAAAGGTTAAAGGGTCTTAAAGAGTTAAGGTCAGTAAATTTTAAAAAACTAAGTTTAATACCAGCCAAGAGATGTAAGTAAAGTCAGACCAGAATATAAGTAAATTGCACGTGGACGTTTACTTTTGTGTGTGTGTGTGTGTGGATACATACTTCATAACATCGGGGATAATCGACGGATTATCAGACGACTTTGGAACTTCACGCGGTTGGAGCACCGCGCTGTTCGGACACGAAGTCATTCTCATGATCGTTTTATCCCTCGTCGAAAACCGCGCCGAGCTTTTCTCCTGATTATTCCACGAGCTTATCATGGCCGCGGTGCGTCGTGCCGCCACGCTGTGACTGCTGACATACGGACACACGGTAGCCGCGCGATGATACAGCACCAGTGCCGACTCGTACTCGCCGCTGTACGTGATTTATGTTACACGGGAAAATTGAGAATTTTTCTCTCTCTGTTTATATTTTCATCATTTCATACGTATAATTGATAAGGCGGCTATCATTTATATTGCTTTTATCCTTTGTGCAAGTAGATCGATAAAATATTTTATCTTTTGAAAATTCATTAAACATTTATTATGTCATCAATAAATGTTGTTTCATCAAAGCAGATGTTTAATTATTATTGCCTCGCTATATAAACACGTTAAAAATAAAGATATGAAAATTGCATGTAACTCTCTCTTTCAATATTTTAACAAATGTGCTTAATAATTATTTGTAATTTCACAAAGAGCGAATGTTGAAACTTGTAAAAGAGTAAATAAATATTTTGTCACAGAGATAATCCCGTCTGCTCATTAATACTGGAATTAACCCGCGGGTTGTTTGCGAACCTTCTTCTCTCGTTCGCGAGGAAGATCTATTTGTGGAATTAAAACGCTCATGGCTTCCCGCAAAAACTAAACACCGGCCGTTTGCAAAGCGATATTCTCAGTTCGAATGTTCTTTCACAGAGAAACGACGACGTATTGGCAACATTTCCGATATTACCCATGACCCATTTCTTCTCGGAGCGGCACCAAAACTGCTTGCACTTGAGCGACAATAATGATAGATTATTGCCGAGCGAGTTTTAAATTCAACAAACTATTTGATGCGGGCTAAAGTTATGCCCGGCGTTTTAACAAGTTTAAAATATTCGATCAAAAAGTCTGCGCAGTTAAAAATAAAAATAAAATATACAAAGAGAGAATATCGCTATACACATATATACATGTGTGTGTGTGTGTGTGTGTGTGTATTATATGTATACATATATACATACATATATATATATATATATATATATATATATATATATATATCATATATATCATATATGCATGCGAGAAACAATTACAATTTCAACTAAAAACTATCGCTCAATCAATTACACCAATTATCAATCCGTTAACAATGTGCGTTGTACCGTTTGAAACAAAATATTTTTTCAGCCTCTTTCGTGGGCTGAATCGTTTTCATCGCTTATGTATGTCGATCAATCTGTATACGAACAAAATATCGACACTTTTGACGTAACTGAGCTAATAGGAATACATTGTGATCTCTTCTGCACATATATCCACATGTCCAATTTCCAAGTGAAAATTACAGAACGTCGAAGCGGCACAATAGCTTTCCTTCCTCATTGTTACACACACATACACACACATTCGCGACTCGATTGCGAATGTAATTTTTGAACAGAGAGGCGAAAATTGTGTACAAAAGATGAACAATTCAATTACTAAGAAAATAGCCGGGTCAAGTTCTACGTATTAAAAAAAAAATAAAAAAGATGACAGATGTGAGGAGTTAATGTGCTTTTGATGTACAACCGAAAATGACAGGATCCATCTCGAAATTATCCGATATAGAGACCCGCGAGACTAGTGCCACGTTCGCGTCAAATTAGTAGAGGTAATCAAAAGTCATGAAATATGAAACGGGACGTGAGATTAATCCCGTTCTCGCACTTAATATCATTAACGTAGGATATTGATCACGTTATACCGTTGACATAGCTCGTCCGCTTGATCGTGTAGAGCTTGTGCGTATTGTCGATTACCTCCGCGCGACAGTTTCGATGCTTTCGTCTTGATTTGTAGTCGCGCACGATTCTCCGCGCTCTCCACGACTCGTTTGGTCACATCGAGATCGTTCACGGAGTTGACGAACTCGCATTTAGTAGCCATTCATTACTAGCGCAAGTAAAGAAAAAGATTTTTCTACTCAATTAAATTTATTTTCGTCGGTCGAAAGCATCTCGCAGCCACTTTCGTTGTAAAAACCGACTGATCACTCGCAGCCAATTTCGCATGTAAAAATCGATTGATTGCTCTCGTTACGCGGACTTATTAGGTGATAATAAAACGTTCCTAAACAATAATTTAACAATAAATTTTATGCAGTTTTGAAAAATATTTGATTTTACATCACGTTCGTACACAAATGTTGACAAAAAAGTTGTAGATTTTTCGCTCCAAAAACATAAACAGTAAATTAGATGTAAGTATAAATAAGAAATTATATATTTCGCTAAATACATAAACAGTGCAGATATTAATTGCTTTTTTTATCATACATCTGGTTGTAATAAATCAGAAATCTTGTGTAAACGGACTAATTGATCTATACATTTAAATGAATGTACAGTTTCGTCGGACTAATTGACCTATACATTTAAATGAATGTACAGTTTCGTCGTATCATATTCGCATTATTTCCGAATATATTCGTTACAAAAAGTAAAAGCGTAAACATTACATATAAAATATGCAAATTTTTATGCTAAAAACATTTGTGTCGTGTACAATATACGTAAATATTTTTTTTCATTAAAATATCAAACATATCAATACTTTAATTAGAAGCTGAACAACTGTATACAGATATTTTCTGAAACGTAATACCATAGTCAATCTTATCAAATAGGAAGAAACAACATGTCTTATTACGCTATTAGTGGACTATTCGACAAGTGATACATTACTTGCGTATGTTATTATACATTGATATAAAGAAGACATTATTTTTTACAATCGCAAATACTTGAATTATCTTGCTTAATCATAATAAACGGTAGTATATTACATATATATGATAACTCTTTCGCATATTGGCGCACTTGTGATAAAATGGTGATACCTGGAGATGGAACGCGTTGCTGGCACACGCACCATTGCGTTTACTATTGATTAAACGTGTGAATTAACAGACACAATATAAGTTTAAACATACGTTTTTCGCATTTGAATGTTTCGAAAGCGCATGTATACATTCTTGTGTTGCAAAAAAAGTGCAAATACCTATACTAACATATAAAACTATTGTCGATTAATCTGTTAATCACTATCTGCGAGACGAGTACAAAGTGAATTTTTTGCACTTAATACTATTGATATTGTACAAGTAGCTACCTTTTTTTAAAATAATTTTACCATAGTCTTGTTAAAAGAAATATCTTTATATTAGACGTGTCTGAATCCCACATATAATATAAAAACAGTGTTCACATTTAGTGTACATTTAAAATATACAGTAAAAAGTAGTTTTTGTTGTTCTTTTTTTCATTTCAAATTACATCCTTTTTGAATTCGAAGCTATAAAAAAGCAGAGTTTGAAACAAATATCTTATTCTCTCTATGCTGCATGTATTTAATACCGTTTTTTTTTATGATGCTACACGGAAAATAAAAATTTGCTAGAATAGCAAGTAAGTTAGTTGTTACTTGAAAATACTAGCGTAATATTGGTATTGTATCGCTTATATGTGTAATTTTTTTACAGGTTATATCGCTAGACATAGATCGATATAATATATTTGTTAATAAAGTAAAACAAGTTTTTTGTAGAAAACATGCTTGTGCACTACTTACGAAACAATAGTCTTGTATATTACTTTTTACTGTAAACTGTGTAGAGGACGAATGCACATTTACTTCATCCTCAGTCGTAATTAATTGGTGAAATTTATAACAGTTGTATGGTTTTACATTTGAATCAATTTCTCTACGATTTTGTTGGTCAGATAGTGCTGCGATCTTAAAAACACCAATATTGTAACGGTAATATTTTACACTATTGACATGTTCTAATCACTGTTGAATAAATCGATACTTTCAATAAACGAATTAAAGTACTGATATCAATGAGCTGTTAGATGACGGTGTAGCTCAGAATTCGTTGGAAATGGAACCATGCATATCTTAAAAAAATACTGTTGTTATAGTAATGTTTTATCCTTAACATGGTCTGTTAACACTGCTGATGTATACCGTTATAGACGATTTTTGGCGATCATTTGGTATAAGTATAGTTAGTATATATACAAACTATAGTTTAGTCCACTTTGGTATATGTATCATACGATCGCCAGAACTCGCTTTATATTGTACAACAAAATGAACAAATGATTTTCTTAATAAAGGCGTGTTCATCACGTACCGAACATGTAAAGTTGCTTTCTTCATGCGTACTACGTTCGTGGCTCCGTTTAGAAGAAAATGTCAAGTAAATTTTGTCACAGTATTTACATTCAAAAATTGTTCCACTATGATTAATTGCATGGGTTTGTAGTTCAGATCGTGTTGTAAATTTTTCGGCGCAAATCTGAACAAAAAATAACATCGTAACAATACTAAATTTACTGTTAACATGTTTTGATTATAGTGCTTTATCGCAAATTTAAAATAGTGTAGTGTTTATTATTTTGGACCGAGTATTTTTAAGATAACTGTAATTTTCAGTACTTACGATACACTCATAATAATTACGACATTCTGGATGCATATTTCTAATATGATTGTCTAAATTTTCGGTGGTTGTGAAAATAATGTTACATATTTTACAAGGTATGTTGTAAAAATGAGTATTTTTATGAATATGTAGTGCAAATTCTGTTGCAAATTTTGTGTTGCATGTCTAATAAGAAATATCATTATAACAATATTATTTTAGTCTGTTAATGTATTTTGTTACTACACTGATAGTAGACCGACAAACTATACTTAATAGGTTCAACCTGTGTTGTACTTACGAGTTTTCTTCATTACTTACGTCACATGTAAAACTATTGACAGTAGCTACTTGTTGAGAAGATGGTGCCATGATGGTGCCAGATGTTTTTAGAAAAAGTATTAACAGAAATCACGCAATACTGACAATGACTTGTGAGATGTATGTTTGACGTGATTGACTTATTTCATAACGATGAAGAGCATCTCGTGGTATAGTCACAATTTGTTTAAACTTCTCGGAATAAATATCTTACTACTACTTATATGAAAATCATACACAAAATAATATAATTGATCATACAAAATAATATATAAATCATACAAAAATAATTATAAAATCTAAATAAGTATTAATTAAATAAGTATTACATAAAGTATGAGTAACGTAAATTTATTATACTATTTTAGCTTACATTTATATATTTATATTTGTCTGAGGTGAATGCTCCGTAAGAGTTGTCATTGAAATGTGATCTATCCTGTGTAGCTAATACACTCTTTGTCTTACTCGTTTACTTGTGTCGTTATTTTTTTATCCGAATGATTGTTCGTAAGAATTCACAAATCGAAAATTGTTACAGAGTATTGCTTTATTGAGATAAATAATTTGGTTTTGTAGTAAATACGATTTTATATAGTGTATAAAGATCAGTTAAACATACATGTCTTTATCTTTTCTATGAGCATAAACATTAACTAAAAATTTAAAACATTAAGCGCACTACGTAGGTATTTAATATTTATGGTAATTAGCAATACAAGTAAAAGTTACAAAATTCTCACCTGAATCAATATTTCAATCGCTCGTTCTGCAAGAAAGTAACGAACTTTACGCGGAGAAATACAAAGAACGACTAAAAGGTTACACGTAGTTTTCAATATCACTGCTCATGTTTAAAACGCAAACCAAGAAATAAACACGAGTCTTCGCAAGGTGTGTATTATATTTTGATATGAATTATTACAGTAACCGATAACACAGTAACGTGCAAACTGGAATAATTTTCGTCTGGTACGATTAAAACAACCGAAAACGAAAATGTAAATAAATTGTAAAATGTTTATGTGAAGTAAATGATGCTTATATGTACAAAAATTGTTGTACTGTTTATTTAATTATGAAAAATACGTAACTTTTTATCACGTGCGGACAAATTTGTTGACATACAATCATTATAGAGAATTCACTTTTGTTTTAAACATAACTAATAAACTAGTTGTAAGTACGAGTAAGAAACTTGAAAGTAAAACTGCTTCGTAACAAAAGTTATTTTAGTAACTCAAGTTACTTTATTTGCACTCAACCAGATATGTAAAAAAAATTACAAATATTAATTGCAAATTTTAGTATTTACTCCTAACGAAGTAGTAGTCGTGTAATTGGAGAACATAATTTATACATTAAAAAAACCATATAGTTTTGTTGTTTTATACTTGCATTTTTTTCCGATTCTATTTGTTACAGAAAAGTGTTTCGAGTACATTACATATAAAATGCGCAAATTTTTAGAATAAAAACTTTGTGTCATAAAACATATACAAAAATGTGTTTTCTTTACATATATCAAACATTTTAATACTTCATTTACAAACTGAACACCAGTATATATTATTGCCTGATAAAATACAACGTCAAACTCATCAAATTGGAAAGAACAACAAGTCTCCTTACGATATTAGTGTAATATGTGACAAGATACTTTACTTGTAGACTTTATTATACATTGATATAGAGTACAATTTTTTGTACAATCGCAAGTATTTCATTTAACATGTTTAATCATATTAAACGACAATATATTACATAAATATGATACCTCTTTTGCACATCAGCGCGTTTGTGATAAATCGTGATCACTGAAAACGAAACGCGTCGCTAACATACGTAAATGCTTTTGTGGCACCAATGTGTTTCCTATTAAACGTGTGAAATAACATGCATATAAGAAGTATAACTATATACGTTTTTTGCAAGTGAATGTCCGATGTTCGAAAGCACTTGTATACTCTCTTCGTGCGAAAAAGATAAAATATATGTATGCTAATATATAAAACTTTTGTCGTTTATGTATGTTAATATGTTAATATGTTATTCAATAATTGCAAAACGTCTAAAGCGTGAATTTTTCTTATATTTAATATTAAACAGTATAAAAAATGCGTATTTGACTAAACTTTTAATGAAATGTGTGATACTAGTATGTCTAAGTAAGTATGGGAATATTCTATAATTTACGAAATACGTGCGGATATATAGTTTTCCTTAGAATAAATTTTCTTATTTTCATACTTATGTTCTAAGTAAAAGTTTCATATTGGACATGTCGAAATTTCACTTAATATAAAAACAGTAAACTCAAAAGTTTTTTCGCTAGCCTTGCAATAGCGAAACTAATTTTTTTGTATACTTTGATATAGTGTGACTTATAGACCGATAATTTGATATAGTATGACTTATATGAATGTCTTACTGTTTTAACTAAATGATTTGAGGCAAGACCAATATGAATGTATTATATGTATTGTATAAAAGTAATGATATGAAACAACATGCGTGTTCCTTACTTACATTACAAAAAAAAGCGTTTTTTCTATCTACAGGTTTTGTGCACCTTTACATTAGTTTCGGTTGTAAATACTTTATGACATTCAGTACGCTAAGAAAGTTTCAGTTTTGAACACAGATACTTTGATACATATTCTTTTTCATGAAAAATATTAATTTTTTTCAGCATAGAAGTTTTAGAGACAGTACTTAAAAGAACTAGCGTAACATTACTATTTTACCGCTTACATATGTGTTAATTTTTTACAGTTTATATCGCTAGACATAGATCGATATAATTTGTTAATATACTAAAACTAGTTTTTTGTAGAAAACGTGCTTGTGCAATACTTACAAAATAATAGTCTTGTATTTTACTTTTTACTGTTAACTGTGTTAGAGAACGAGTGCACATTTTCTCCATCCTCAGTCGTAATTAATTGGTGACATTTATAACAATTGTCTGGTCTCACACTTGAGTCATTTTCTCTATAAATTTGTCGGTCAAATAGTGCTGGCGATGAACTCGCCAGATATCTTAAAAACTAATGCTGTAATAAGTAATATTGTACACTTTTGACATGTTGTGATCATTGTGACTTGACGTAGTATATTTAGAAATATTTTAAACAGATGATTTTTTTATACTAAAAGTGTCTCCAGTACTTACGTGAAATAATCAAAGTAGCTGTTGTGCCCACAAGAATTGTGATACGTTTATAATCTATCTGGTGGATTAATGTCTCCTTTCATGAGACAAAACCTTCTTCGATGGATAGAAGTTTTTAGATGACGTCGTAGCTCAAGCTTTGATGAAAATATTATATCGCATGTCTTAAAAAAAAATATTGTTGTTTTAGTACTGTTTTACCCGTAACATGTTCTGTTAACATTGCCGATGTATACCGTTATATTTTACAACAAAATGAACAACTAGGTTTTTTAATAAGAGCGTTCCTTACGTACCGTACATGAAAAGCGCTTGTCTCTATGCATAAGGCGTTCGTGCATAGATAAAGAGTGACGGTTCGTGTAGGGTTTGTCACAGTACCTACAGTGAAACAATTGTCTGGGATTATGCACGGCGCGTATGTGGTTCTGTAAAATGTTATAATTCGAGTAGGCATTACCGCAGGATCTACAAGGAAAAATTGTTTCAATATGATTGATCGCATGGGTTTGTAGTTCAGGTCGTGTTGTGAAGTAGGTGTCGCATATCTGAACAAAAAATAACATCGTAACAATACTAAATCTACTGGTAACATGTTTTGATTATAGTGCTTTATTGTAAATTAAAAATAATACAGTGTTTATTATTTTGGACAGAGTGTTTTTACGATAACTGTAATTTTCAGTACTTACGGTACACGTATAATAACAACATTCTGGATGCGTAAGTCTAATATGATAGTCTAATTCTTCGATCTTTAAGAAAGTTAAGTCACATACGTTACAATTTACGTTGAAAGCATGACTAATTTTATGAAGGTGTAGTGCAAATTGTGTTGCAAAGCTTATGTGGCATGTCTAATAAGAAATATCATCGTAACAATAATATTTTAGTTTGTCAATGTAATTTGTTATACTACTGGTAGTTAACCGACACATTATATTTAATGGTGTGTACATGTGTTGTACTTACGAGTTTTTTTCAGTACTTACGTCACATGTAAACCTATTGTCACTAGTTTTTTGTTGAGCAGATGTGTATGGTTCCATGTTTTTTTAGAAGAAATATTACCAAAAATCACGCAATACTGACTGTGACTTATGAGATGTGTGTTTGACGTGAGTGAGACTTACTTTATGACGATGTAGAATGTTTTGTGGTAGTTACAGTTTGTTACAATTTCTAGGAAAAATCATCTTAATATTACGTGTATAAAACTCATACAAAAAATATTACTTATAAAATCTAAATAAGTATTACTTACATCACTATACATAAAATGTCAGTAATGTAAATTACTTATACTATTTTAGCTTACATTTATTTATTTATATTTGTCTGAGGTGAGTATTCCGTAAGAGTTGTCATAGAAATGTTTTCCTGTGTAGCTAATACACTCTTTGTCGTTTCACTTTTACTCGTTTACTTGTGTCGCTATTTTGTTATCGGAATGATTGTTCGTAAGAAGTCGAAAGTCGGTAACTGTTACAGAATATTGCTTTATTGATATAAATAATTTGGTTTTGTAGTAAATACGAGCTCATACTGTATAAAGATAAATTAAACATATATGATTTTATCTTTTCTTAAGTGAGCATAGAATCTAACTAAATTTAAAACATTAAGCGCACTATATATTGTATTAGGTATTTAATATTTATGGTAATTAGCAATACAAATACAAGTTACAAAATTTTCCTGAATCGATACTTCAACCGTTCGTTCTGCAGGAAAATAACGAACTTTACGCGAAGAAATACAAAGAACGACTAAAACGGTCACACGTATCTTTCAATATCAGTGTTTACGTCTAAAACGCAAAACAAGAAATAACCACGAGTCTTCGCAAAGTGTGTATCATATCTTGATACGAAGTATTATAGTAGCCAATAAAACAGTGAAATTTAAGCTTGAATAAGTTTTTTCGGTACAATTAAAAAAACCGAAAACAAAATTGTGAACAAATTGTAAAATGTGTAAAATGTCAATGAAATGATGCTTATAAGTACAAACATTGTTGTAGTTTTTATGTACTTATAAAAAATATTTAACTTTGTATCATGTTCGTGCAAAACTGTTAACATAAACAAATTGTAAAAAATGCACTTTTATTTCAAAAACATAACTAATAAATTAGCTGTAAGTATAAGTAAGAAATGAAAGTAAAACTTCGTAACAAAAATTACTTTAGTAATAAAAATTACTTTAGTACTCAAGTTACGTTACTTGCAATCGTTTTTTGATGATTTTATTATAAATATTTCTTTCTTTCTTTTTTTAGTATAAAAGTGTTTTAGGTTTGCCATAATTCACTTCAAACTCGTATGTTTCCTTTCAAACCTTCAAGTTATTTTTATTTAAACCATTTTTTTTTTTTTAAACAAAAGATATTTGAGAGGATTAATCTAGGACAGGGTTTGTATATACATTTAACTTAAAAATGAGTACTTTCTACAAAAGATCAGATCCAAAGAATTATAATTATTATGAAAAGATTACTAAGTATATAAAGGTTTTCTTAGAACATATTTCTCTAAAAATATTATATTTTTACGTCAAAAGAATAATTTACACATCTTCCAGCAACAGTTTCTTTACAGTACAGATTAACTTAGTTTTACATTATATATATATA